AACCTCCCTTGGGAAGCTGCCATTAGGCTACTAGAGGCACCAGTTTGTCCCACCCACAGAGATGGGAGTATCTGTGAAATTACATCTCCTAGGGCAACCCATAATCAATAACTACCTAATTGCTACTGGAGATTTGAAAGCATGAAATAAGACTAACTCTAGGGTACAATTTATGTTCCAGAGCACCCCATCAGATAATTCTAAGACAGATTTCACCTGATATCATACCCTTGCTTTGCTCCCTCTCCTTTTTCCTGCTGTTTCCTTTGATTATTTCCTAATCCATCACATGTAGCAAAACTGCATGTGACTCAGGGTCTGTTGCTGGAATAATATGAACTAAGATGTGCCTCTTTAGGAGAGAACATGGAGCTGGACAATCTTTGCCTGAGAATTAAAATCTACTCCCTATCACCTCAATTCACCATTCCCAATGGATACAACTACTGACTGGAGGCATCTTCTCTAGAAAAGGTGCCACAGAAATTGTTAATAATGGAAGGATGGCTCTGATAGGCCACCATCCTCCATGCAATCTGATCAGAGAAGTATGAGTTACATCTAAAGCATTATCTGGAGTCATGATCTAAACCTGTGTGGTGGCAAACCTATGGCACACATGCCACGGTGGGCAGTTTGTGTCAATGAAAGATTCATGGTCACTGATCTAAACCATTGGCTTATAAAAGCAGGGAACCAAGATGGAGGGAGGGTGAGGGAAAGAAAGGGAAGGGAATGTAGAAAGAATTAAGATATGTTATGTGCATGTACAAAGTCCCCCTGATGAATGTAATCATTATGTACTGCAAACATGTACTCATAAAAATAAAAATTTAAAAAGGGATAGAGTTTTCCAGAACCTACAGAGGAATCCTGTAGATTCTAAACTTAATAGTATCTGAAGCAACTCTTCTGTGGATCCTGAGGGTTTGGGACCATGCCTCAGATGTCAAGAGATCCTGAAATTGAAAATACAAATTCTCCTTGACCTTTGGGTAGCCATCTTATAGTGAGTGAGACAGACTGGGGATGAAGTATAGTTTTCACAGCCCTAAAAGAGGAGATCCTCAGGGTAAGTTATACCAAAAAATGGTCATAAACATCCACGTTCTCATGGAGAGAAATAGAGAAGGTGTCATGGAGGAGAAAATGTATGAGTAAATGTTAGTTGAGAGGTGAACATTGTAAGATATTCATTTCTTCTGCTCTCAAAAATTTCCCAGTAAAAAATTCCCTTGTCTTTACAAGTAATCCTGAATAGTTATCGCAGCCACTTTTCCCAAGCTGAAGATATGGCTTTGGGGGCATTGTTCTCATTTAGATACAATTTTATGACTACCAACAAGCTGAGAAGAGCATGCTCTTAGATGCATATAGTTTTAAGATAATGATGAAAGTAAGAATACAGTTACTATAGGAATCAAGAATAATACCCAGCTTCTTGTTTCTTTTCCCTGTGGCTTCCTAACACGTATCCTTCAGGGAAAGAAAAGTTACACAACTAATGTGTGCTGTTTCTTCTCTCTTCCTCTTTAATCATAGTTCCCTGGTCTTTGAGAGGGGCTGAATGCCCTGGCAACAGATTTATCTGACAAAATGGTTTATGTCTTTTTGGCTGCAATTGCAGATTAGCCTCTGAATGGACAAGCTACAGATGCAGCGGGCCTCAGGGAGCTGCTAAGTACATTTTGGCACAATAATCCCAATCATATGTGAACCATATGTTGAGTATATGGTTTAACCTCCAAAGTATTCATTTGTAATCTTTGTGGTTTCATGAGGCTAGTTGAGATAGAGCTAAAGAGTGTAGGTCACCAAGTTAGAAAAAAAAGGAAAAATATCCTCAGATGACCTTCCAGACATTGTGTTAGTGTGTATGAAAAGAATGAATGGAGAAAAAAAGAAAGGATACTGAACTGTGAAGGAAATATCTGACATTCTACTTTTGCTGCAGTTTGATGCTTACAGGTCACTTAACCTCTCAGGCTTAGCATCATCTCTGATCTGAAATTCAGTTTGGTTGAATGAGCAAAAGGAAATTCAAATTCAGGTTGGTGAGAGGAGTAAGTGGTGACCTTACAGGTTAATCTCTATATAAATGCTGTGCCTTCCCCTAGGGCCTTGACAGCGTTCTTCAAATGTGCAGAATCCTGTAGAATCCATCTCCTTAGCTATCCGCAGCTGCAGAATCTCACACCTGTCTCGCATGGCACAGGAGGCCCACCTTGGGCTCTTCTTGATCCTTCCCATCAGAGGAAAGCCAGGGGTAATAGAAAGTGATTCTAAGGGGATGATCCAGCTCTCAGGAATCTCACGAGATTTTGGGCCTTCACTTTAGAGAGCAAGGATGATGGAAGCTAGAATAAGAATATTATATGAAGTCACTCTTTTACTTTTTGTTGTCCGTAGCCCTTTTCTTCAAAGATCAGAGTCCCATGAGTAGTACACCCTCCGTTAATCAAGCAACCATTAGCACCACTGCAGATTCAAATTTTTACCTTAGGTCATTGTTACATAGAGAGCAGTGCAGGTCCTGAAGACTCTGCGCTAAGTGCCCGTCAGTCCCATCGCATAACTTTTAAGTTTGGATTTCTAGGTCTTTGCTGCTTTCTGGTGACTGCTTTGATCTCAGCTGTCCTGGTAAACACCATGACTGCTCATTTAAGAAAGACCCCAGAGTTGAAGAAGGAATGACAATTGAAAGCATAATTCAATGTAAACATTGAATTGCCTCAGCTAGTTTTATGAACATGGAATGATGTCATTCATCTACACACGACCAGATGTCATAGCACTTATTATTTAGGAGCCCAGACACTCAGCTGACTCACATTCCATCTGGAAGTCACGCTCACTTGAAGTAAACCACCAGGTGATGCGAGTCCCCATATGGACACTGAGCACACTCAGATGTGGTGTGCACCCTCAGAAAGGTCAGGCACATTCACTTCTGTCTCACTCACATGAGCTCTGGGCTGTCAAGGTCTCTCGAACAGGCACACTGCTTGATCTGTTTCTCACCTTCATTCATATTTCACACTCATTCAAGGGCGTCATATGCCCCAGAGCCAACCTCTGTCTCGTGTGCATGATTAACCATCCCATGCTCAAGGGGATTCAGGGAATATTGCCATATTGAGAGTGCCACATATTTTTCAGAGGGGGTCCTGCTTTAGCCTTTATTTTCCTTAATGAACTAGCCCTGTGCCTCTGTTTTTGCCCACGTTGGGTGTCTTTGGATGCAGAATCTGATCAAGGGATAGAAACATGTACCTCCACCCTCTTTTATTCATAAGCAATGTGCTAGTTCTTTTTCTATGTCATCCTTCAATGTTTGGTTTGGGGCCTCTGCTTCAACCACCTCATTAATTTACACTTCTCATGTGGGGCACTCTGGGAAAATCGTCTTCCATCTCAGATCAGGGGTTCCAGAGATCTGTACAGTAAAATCTTCTAAAAGAAGAGTACTTATTCAAGTTAAATACACACTGTGGGCATTCAAAGCAATGGGGAAATGTTATCCAGTTCACAAACATTAGAATAACTTTTACAAGGAGAATCTATATATTTGGCATAAAGCTGATATCCAATAAAGGCTCATTCATCTTGTGCACACACCAGTAGCTGTCTGCATACTTCTGAATTAAAGGGAATGATACGCGATCACTAGACGGAAGCTCCAGGGAATCCCTGTTTTCCTCGTCTGAAGTTTCTGCTTCCAGATAGATTGGTTTCATGCTTGCTTTCAGTTTTGATTCATTCCATTGCACATTCATTGATCACTTGCTTGATATCAAGCAACCTGCTAGGTATTGTGTCTGTGTGTATGTGTGGTGGGGAGGTGACTCAGAGACAACTAAGCTGCGATCACAACTTTCTAAAAGGAGACAGTCTAGCCAGTGATACAATAATCCCGTCTCATTTATTGCAGAACCAAGCAGAAAGTGGTTAATAAGTTAGAGATGAACAAAGTGTGGGGGCAGAGAGAGAGAGAAGGCAGGAGACAGAGAAGCTGAGAGAGAAAGAGGGTGGGAGAGAGAGGGAGAGGAAGAAAGAGAGGGCAAGAGAGAGAGGGAGAGAGAGGGAGAGGGAGAGAGGGAGAGGGAGACAGAGAGAGAGAGATCTGAGGTGGGCAGGACTGTAAGGTATTGCAGGTAGAGGGAGCACCACCTGGTGATTGTGAGTGGTGAGATCCAAAAGATATGTGTGCAATAGCATGGCATCTGCAGCAGCTGGAATGAAGAGAGCATCTGGAGAAGATACTCTAAAAGGAAGGCTGAGTGCCAAACCAAAGGGCTTCACATGCCACGATGACAGGTGTACCTGAATAATTTGGGCAACTAAGAGCCTATGGGACAGTGTTATATGAATAGGAAGATGAATGGATGGACCGATTACCTGATCCAATAAATGAGAGACAAGGGGATCAGTTGAGTCTGGATTAGAGGCAGGAAAGTGCCCAAGTTAGGCATGAGCCATGGAAGGAGAAAAGAGGCAAGGCATCACTGCTGAGGGTAAGGACCCGGAGGCTGTTAATTAGAAATGAAGAAGGGGGCTGGGGAGTTAGCTCAGTGGCACAGCGCCTGCCTGGCAAGCACAAGGTCGTGAGTTCGGTTCCCAGTACCAGAAAAAAAAAAAAAAAAAATGAAGAAGAAGGACTGAGGAGGTAGGAACTGGGGATGAGCACTACGTTGAGGAACTGTCCACCTCACACATGATGCTGCCCTTCAGGAAGGAAAGACATGTAGAAGGAGTTGCAACAGGATTGTAGGAGTTGGGACTGAGCTGAATTTTGGACATGTCCAGTATGAGCTCTGAGAGGAGAGAGCTTTCTACAAAGCAATGGGTTTGAAACTCTGAAACTACAAAGAAAATGGGCTAGTTGTAGACAGCAGTGATTGTGGTGTTTCCAGACTGGGAAAGTTGTGCCAACATCGTGAAAACTAAGAAGTTCATCCCTTAAAAGATTTTCTAATCTCTCTCTTCTCTTTTCTATCCAGTGTTTATCAGTTGGTTGTCAAGGAGGAGAGACTTCAGAAATCACGAAGGGCAGCTGACATCATTGAATGCTTCTCAGTACCTGTGAGCTATAGGAATGCCTCTAGCCTGGATTCTTTACACTACTTTGCTGCTGAGTTGAAGCCCGCCAACCTGCCTGTCACCCAGCCATTTACAGTGGGTGACAACAAAACATACAATGGCTATTGGAACCCTCCGCTCTCCCCACTGAAAAGCTACAGCATCTATTTCCAGGCACTCAGCAAAGCAAATGGAGTAAGTACGGCCACCAGGAGTATGGCCTTGTATGAATTTTCTTATTCTCCAACAAGAAAGGAGCAAAGCTTTAAGGATCAACAAACTAAGGCCCATGGGTGCAATCTAGCCTGATGATTTTGCAGGGCCTGGGGGACAGTTTTCATTTATTTTTTAAGCTATACCTATTTGCATATTATCAATGGCTGTTTGATGCTTAACAGTGGAGTTGAGCAGTTGCAACAGAAACTCCCACAAGGACTAAAACATTTACTGTATAAATGTCCTGTGTCTGTTGTATTAGAGAATGGAGAAGGTGCTGCACTTGAACAAAGCACAGGGCCTGAGTCTTAATTTCTCTATTCATTGTAATAACCACTGTCAATGTAGTATCTGTAGTCTCACTCACATATATTAGTTGATCTGTGACTACTAATACCTTTATCATCACCATTAGTCAGATACAAAAGCAGCTTTTTTTTTTTTTTTTCAAAATCCAGGTAACTGCTTGGTGTCATTTTTTTTGTTGTTGTTCAAGCAGGAGAGTCAGTCATTACATCACACAATCAAAGAGCTAGGAAGAATCTCTAAGGTCACCCAGCATCTCCCCACTCACACGCCCATACGCAGCAATGCTTCTGGGAAAGACAGCATCACAGTGAGCTGGCATTAGTGCTTACTTTGAATACCTACAGTGTTAGAGAACTCATTCTGCTGATCTTTAGGGTGATGATGTCAGGACTGTGGCTCTAAGAAAGCTCTGTAATATACTTACTTAAATATCATTTTTATTGCAGCCTCTACCCATTGCTCTTGGTCTACACTTTTAGGGACCTGTAGAACCAATGCAATCACCTTCTTGGTTGTTATTTGTCCATCACATAAAATCTTTTCTACCACCTACCTCCTCTCTCTAAAATCTCATTCATCTGGTCTTGTTTTCTGCAAGCAAAATATCTTTAGTCCTTCTTATAATACAGGTGAATATTTCATATCCAGGTTGCTTTTGTAGACATATTCCAAGTTCCTATTTTTCACTCAACGAACATGTAATGAACACTGCCATATATTAAGTGCCATGGTTCATATTGAGGTTAATAAGTGCCCTCCAAGAGCTTACAGAAATGTACAGAAGTCTGGCATATGCCATGCTGTGCAGTGTATCTGGAGAAGTGAGAGGCTCACCAAGAAAGAAATGCTGAGATAAAAACTAGATTTGAGAGTTATTTGAGTTGTCCACATAGAGAGTTTAGCTTGTCAGGGGCAGTCATTGCCTGGAAGGAAACCTGGCTCGAGGAGCAGATTAACATTTAGAAGGTCCACAGGCCCACTAAAATTCCACTTTGATATTTCAGTTCTGCGTCTTTTTCATGGTTCAAGTCACACTCCTCACATACAGTATGAAAGCACAGAGAAGTGCTGCCAGATTGCCTTCCACCTGTCCATCTGGTCCTCCCTCTGCGTGAAACACTGTGATGCATTGAGTAGGAAGATACAAAGATGGGTAGAAGCATCTGGGGCCATCTTGTTCTGGGATCCCTGCATCCCACATTGGCCTGTTTATTGCTTTAGCACATCTCTAATGAGGGGAGGCTTTCTCTTGTTTTAATACTAAGAGTTCCAGTAATGACAAAAACAGGAAAGAAATTAGGTTAATGTTTATGCAAGGTGTCTTTGGGATATAGTTTGCTACACAAGCACAAAAAGAAGAAAAACAGATCATGGCACACTGCTTTGCATTTTTCTTGAAAGGGAAAAAAAAACCTAAATATTTCTTGAAATTATTGTATTTAGTACTAAGTTTTGCTTGAAAATATTTGTCAGAAAGATCATAACAGCAGAGAGCCAGCCTCATCTGAAAAATTCTCTGCCTGGCTCCTATTGGAATCATCCATATTAAATACAGCAGTTGTTATGGTTTGTGTCTGGATGTCCCCCCAAAGCCTCATGCAGTCATGAGGCAGGCTTCTAGAGTTTATGATTGATTCATGGTCCAATGTTGGGATTATGGATGTGAGTGCTACACCTGCCCTGGGGTGGGTAGTTTGCATACAATGTAAGGGAGAGAAAGAGGCTACTTGCTGCCCCCCTCCCGTTTGCTCTTGTTGCTTTTGCTGTCTTCCACCACCAGAAACTGTTGCCCTGTGCCATATGCCATTCTGCCTTGGAGCCAGCCAAGTATAGGCTGAAACCTTTACAAACTGTGAGCTACATATACCTCTTCTTGCTTAATTCTGGGCATCAGGTATTTTGTCTTGGCAGCAAGAGAAGTAACCAACATGGCAGCACACAACGCATGGAAGTCTGGAGGATTCTTGAGATGTTGTTGTTGTGAAAATACATTGCAGACTCTTAGTATCCAGAGGCTCCCATATGTCTTGCTTCTAATGAATCATTCAAGGAGCATTCATTGACCAAACAATGAATCAAAATAAAGTAATCAAGAATAGAGAAATATGGAAAAATGAAGACCGCAGTGAACATGAAAGTAATTAGACACTGCATTACTACTAAATAATTGCTCCAAATATGTTATAAAACAGAATGTTCAATGTAAAAAATAATTAAAGAGAAGATGGCTGGTGTAACAACAATTGTGATTTGAGTCTACAACTCACTATTATGTCAACAAAAACTGAGAAACTGTTGGAGGATTGAAACATGTAAACAAAAATCTGCTATTTCTTTCATATTAGACAAGAGGGAATAAATACTGTCTTATTTTTGATACTGAGATTTTAACTATATTTTAAACATAAAGACAGCCTTGCATTCTATCACAGAGAAGCTAAAGACAATGATCCACAAAGAAAATCAGGGAAAACAAAGGAAACTATCAGTAAATGTGGAAATCTGCAACTCTAAAATAAGACAAAAGACAAAAGCACTAGATTTGATGAGGCGAAAAATGTGATGTTTTTCTCTCTTCATAAAAAAGGAAAAAATGGTCTGGATCAAGTTCACCAAACTTACATTACTAAAAGATTAAAAACAAAGGATGGGGCACAGTTTTGTAAAACTGAAACGAATTAAATGAAAGCAATGGCCATTTGGTTGAGGATGGTTGTGGGTCAGTTTGGATAACTTGTTATGAACTAATTTCAATCCTCCCTCTCCTACCTGCAAGCTTTACTTAGCGCAGAGTAATAGGATTTTTGGGATTCAGATACTGTATCTTTATTCTATAGGTAGTAAATTCTTCTGCTTAACAGAGTGGCCGTAAATCCAGCCTCTTCAATCGGACTGTCTACATACAAATTCCTGGTGGCTCTGTGATTTTAATCAAGCTACTTAAAGAGTTAGATATGATTGATTAATTAAAGGAACATCTGTCAAGCGCAGCCTTTAAGTGAAAAAGGCACTTTCCTAAGTTATAGAAATAGAGTAGTACACCAAACAGATCAAATTCTTAGCCTTCATAGTGCTTACTGTAAAGGTGAAAGCCAAAAAAAATAAGTAAATACACAAAATAATATGTCAAATAATCCATCATTAGATTTCATAGTGTGAAAGTCACTTACTACACATTGATTATTATTACAGGACATAAAGGCATTCTGCAAACTCTATTGTGATCTATTACTGTAGAATATTTTTCATTCAGCCCTATATTCACAGAAATATAAGTATGAAATGTATAAAATATGGCTCTCAGGATCTCTTCAGGAATTTTTATGAAGAATGAGTTGTACACAGGAATTTTATTGGAAATTTTGTTTGATTAGTGACCTCATCTTTGCCCGTTGATGCTTTTACAGATACAAATCAGATTCGAGTGTGGGAGTACTGTCCTTGGTGCTGAATTCCCGGCACCTGCTTTCTTAAGAAGCAGGCCATATTGTAACCATTTGTTGTGGCCATAGCCATATTATACTTCTGTAGCACTGTAGAGTTGGATGGACTTTGAAGTGCCATCTAATCTAAGCCAGAAGATAAAAAGAAGTCTCCAGTAAAGCGTACTTGGCAGGGTTTCAGCTTGATTATTGCAATTCTCTGAAGTGAAAGGGAGTTGATTCCTTTGTGGAGCAGGTAAAATTATTAGAACTTTTTTCCTTATATAAAGCCAAATTCCATCTCCCTAATTCCCCCTCTTGGCTCTTGGTATTGATTTGAACAAGTCAATTCATTCTTTCCCATGCCAGCCTTTTGGAGAAAGTGTGACAGAGCCAACTACCCACTCTCGGCCACCCAAGTCATTTTATTGATATTGAACATGCAGTTCCTTCTTTTATTTCTCTCCTGGTGTGATGTCTATGATCTCTAGCTATCTTTCATGCCGCGTACTCTGTTATCTGATAGACTTACTCTCTTTTTTCTAACACCCTCCTGAAAAGGGGGGTTGGCAAAATCTAGCATTGTGTGGCCGAGTCTGTTAGGCCACATTGGCTACATTTTAACCATTCCTCTGTCTTGGACAGTTCCTAAAACATTATTTATCAAACATTCCGAGATGTTTTTCTTATTTTGGGTCCTTGGTGCAAGCTTTTATCTTGCCTGCATCCCCCTCTTCCTTCGTTGTTCGCAGTCACTCGTATCTTTTTGTTTCTTAGGCCAGTTTAAATGGCACACACTGAGTGCTTCCTAGTCATTTTACATAGGAACCCACACTAACCTGTTATAATGACAGATTAACCCGTTCCTTTCCTTTTTAATACTGAATATGTTTTAATTACCTCATTATTGCTGTTAGAGTATATTAGTTATATAAATAATGGGGTTTGTCCTCCACTTACCCTTTTCTTCCCTCCCTTACCCACTCTAAACCTCTAGTAGTCTCCCATCTTTTTGTTCTCTCTCCCTCTCTGTGTCTCTCTCTGTCTCTCCATCTCTCCTTAGATTGTACATGTGAGATGAAATATGCAAAAATTGACTTTCTCATTTTGGAGTATTTTACTTAATAAGGTGATCTTCAGTTCCATTCATTCTCCTGAAACTGGCCTGATTTCATTCTTTATAGCTGAATAGTACTCCATTGTGTATGTATTCCACATTCTCTTTATTCATTCGTTGACAGGCACCAA